CTGCCCGGGTGGGCGCCTTACCGTCAGGCTGGGAAGCCGGGCCGGGCTGCGCCATGGCCAGGCGGCCGGCCTCGGGAAGCGGAGAGAGGATGGGCGGGGAAGCGGCGTCCCGGCTGCCCGCGGGCTCAGCTGGCGGAAGAGGCGTCGATGGAGCCGCCGCCGCCACCACCTAGGGAGGAACCGCTAAGGCTGGAGCTGCCGGCACCGCCACAGCCCCGGGCAGAGACGGACCGGAGCGCCGACCTCCGCCTCCTCATCCTGACAGCGGGAAATAGGCAGTGCGCAGGCGCAAGGGGGGGCGGCACGTGACGTGAGCCAGGGGTGGGCGGGGCTTCGCGAAGGTGGGGGCGCCGCAGGCAGGGTGGCTCCGGGAGAACTGGTGGCGGGGAGGGGGGGAGGAGGGGGAGTAGAGAGGGGAGAAGGGGAGCGGCGGCGGCGGGAAAGGCGGCCCTCCCGGAGGGGCCGCGACCAGCACCCCAGGCAAAAATTAAAAATAAAAGAGAGGAGAGCCAAGTGGTGGAGTGCAAAGAAACCCTGCTACGTGACCGTGGGAGAGTCACTTCACCTCGTGGGAGCCTCGTGGGTACAATGGTTAAGTTTAAATGACCTAATAAAATAGGAAAAACTGTTCATAGCAGGACTGGGGCCAGACTGCAGGCCTGATAAGTAGGCCAGTGGGCTATATCTGGCATTTTGTATGCCAGGAACTGGGATAAGCTGCTATCTATACAGCAAAACACGGTGCCTGCACTCCTAAACAGGAGAAGAGAAATAATATACAAAATGCACTGCCTTTATACTTGGGCAAGAGAGCCTGCCCTAGGCCCCAGATTTGAATGCTTCTTATCTAACCTCCCTCTGACCATAATCCTATGACAGAGCTAAGAAGTCAACAGAGTCTCCACCAAAGGCCCAAGTCCTGCGAAGCTGTGGACCCAGAATTTCCTCCCCAGGTTCCTGAAGCTGTGACCTCTTCCCAGGCTCACCTGCTCTAGGACAGAGTCTGGACATTCCCTGAAGGGCCAAAGGGCAGGTTTGTTTGTGTTTGGGGAAGGTGGCAGAGCACTGGGACATTTGAACTGTTATGGCCACAGATCCTAGTGGAGCAGAACAGAGATGAGATAAGACAAGGAAGCTATAACCAGTAGACCAGCCAAGGCCTCATTTCCCTCACTATCCCATTCAAGTGCTTTTATCCCAGGAGTCCAAGAATTCTCCCTTCAAACTTGTTCTATGAGGTTATTAAAGATGTATATTTTTGGGCTGGGAAGGTGGCTCAGTGGTAGAGCGCTTGCCTTGCATGCAGGAGACCCTGGGTTCAATTCCTCAGCACCACATGAGCAAAAAGAAAAAAGCTGGAAGTGGTGCTGTGGCTCAAGTGGTAGAGTGCTAGCCTTGAGCTGAAGAGCTGAGGGACAGCGCCCAGGCCCAGAATTCAGGCCCCATGACCAGACCCAAAAAATAAATAAATATATAAATAAAGATGTATATTTTTCAAACTAGAATAAACTATATTTGTGTAGTAGCGCACGTGTGCTACTAGGGCTTGAATTCAGTGCCTAGACCCTGTCCCTTAGCTTTACCACCCAGGGTTGATCCTCTACCACTTGAGCCACACCTTCACCTCCAATTTCCTGATGCTTAGTTGGAGATAAAATTCTCATGGACTTTACTGCCCAAGCTGACTTCAAACCTTGATCTGCAGATCTCAGCCTCCCAAGTAGATAGGATTACAGGAGTTTGCCACCAGCCTCTGGCTTAATATAGAGTATACTAAGGTTAGTTGTTAGTTGGAGTAGTTAATCATTATAAATAATTTAGGCAAAAATGTGACACCTATTTGTTTTTGTTTTTGTTGGCTGTGGGGCTTGAGTGGGTCCCTCAGCTCTTCAGCTTAATCCAATGCTCTACCACTTGAGCCACAGTGCCACTTAGGTTTTCTGGTGGTTAATTGGAGATTAGAGTCTCACAGACTTTCCTTCGCCGGTCTGGCTTTGAACTTTGTTTTTTGTTTTTTTTGTTTTGTTTTGTTTTTTGTTTTTTTGTCGGTTGTGGGCCTGAACTCTGGGCTTGGACACTGTCCCTCAGCTCTTCAGCTCAAGGTTAGCCCTCTACCACTTGAGCCACAGCACCACTTTTGGCTTTTTCTGCTTACTTGGTGCTGAAGAATCGAACCCAGGGCCTCATGCATGCAAGGCAAGCACTCTACCACTGAGCCACCTTCCCAGCCCTGGCTTTGAACTTTGATCCTCAGATCTCAGCCTCCAGAATAGCTAGAACTACAGGGGTAAGCCACCAGCGCCCAGCCTATTTGAACTTTTGCCCCAGGTCCTTTTATCTTCAGGAGAGAGCTTATACTCAGACTTGAGTGTTTGAGTAATTAATATTTCCAGATGGCTGGGTGCTTTTGAGAAAACATGCAGAGCTCCTTCCCATCCACCCCCTTATATCTGACTTCTAGGGTGAGCAAAAGCATGCTCAGCAGGGAGACCTTTGATGGGATAGGGTTAAAGATCAGCCAGGTAATCTCCCTGTGTTGACTCACTGGAGGCTAGAGCCTCCAGAGATAGTGGATGTTGATGTCTCCTGAAGCAGCTCCTAGGAAATGGCAAACTTACTGCCATTGATAATCAAATTTGAAGCCTGGCTCTCAAGATCAAGGCCACACCTCTGAGTTTCATCACTTACACCTGGCCTGTAATCCTAGCTGCTCTGGAGGCTGAGATCTGAGGATTACAGTTTGAAACCAGCCTGAGTAGTGGTGACCATGCCTGTAAACCCAGCTATCTGAGAGATGAAGATTGGGAAGACCAAGTGTTGAAGCTGGTGGAGAAAAAACTTATCGAGACTTCATATAAACAAACAAACCAAGCATGGTAATATATGTCTACAATTTCAATTTCAGCTATGTAGATGGCACTAGAGGAAAATCTCAATCTAAGGGTGGTGTGGGCAAAAAGCACAAGACTCTATCTAGAAAAAAAAAAAAAACTAAAGTAAAAAAGACTGGAACCAGGCTCCAGTGACTAACACCTCTAATCCTAGCTACTTAGGAGGCTGAGATCTGAGGATTGCAGTTCAAAGCCAGCTCAGGCAGGAAAGTCTATGAGACTCTAATCTCCAATAAACTACCAGAAAACTGGAAGTGGCACTGTGGCTCAAGTGGTAGAGGGTTCACCTTGAAGTGAAGAGCTGAGGAACTGAGGGACAGCGCCCAGACCCAGAGTTAAAGCCCCATGACCAACCCCCTTCCTCTCCCCCCCCCAAAAAAAGACTGGAGATGTGGCCTAAGTGATAGTTCAAACCCCAGTATAAAAAAAAAAAAGTTATTCTCTTCTACTGAAAGAGATAAGACATGAAATAATTATGTTATATGGTACATGCCCCAGGGAGACATACATACATAAGAATATTCATAGCAGTAAAGTTTATTATATAGATTTAAATTTTTTAATGATATATCCATATAATAGATCACTCCACAATAAAAAAGTGGGAAAACTACAAGCACATATTCAATGCAGATGTATCCCATAATTTAGAAAAAATTATTAGCATACATATTGTGAAACTTCCACAAAGTGTACTAGATCTATCTCTCTCTTATCCCCTTCTTCTTAGAACAATTTTTAAAAGTTTCATTGTTCTATTTTCGTAGTGCATATGAAGTACATCAATAATATTGCCCCTCATGTGGCCTCTTTCTTAGCTTTCCCTCATTCTTCTGGTACCCAGCTCCCAACATAGTCTGTCTTATTTTCCTGTCCTTTCTATTTGTCTTTTTAGTTTTACATGAACTGTGCCAAGGAGTTTCAACATGTCATTGTACACATGTACACACATGCACGTGTGTTATGTATAGGCATGCAGGTTCTGGGGCTTGAACTTAGGACTTTGCATTCTTACTTGGCTTTTCCACTCAAGGGTGGTGCTCTACTATTTGAACTACACTTCTATTTTAAGCTTTGTGCTAGTTAATTAGAGATCAGAGTCTCCCAGACTTTTCTGCTAAAGCTGGCTTAGTTATAGTAGCTAGGATTACAGGCAAGAGTCACCAATGCCTGGCTAGATGTATATTTAGTACTTAACATCAGAACAACCTCCTCTATTGTTCTCTCTTTCTTTCTATTGGTCAACAGCATTCAGTGGGATTGCTTATGGAATCTTTATACATACATAAAGGTGAGGTAGTCTCTTTTTTATCTCCTTCCCCATGTCTCTCCATATAGTTACATAGTTATAATCAACAAGCATAATTTAAATGTAACAATGAAATCCCCCTCTATATAACCAATGTAATTAAAATTAAATTAGCTACTTAAATTAATTTTTAAAAATGTTTATTTGAGACAAGGTCTTGTCATGTAGGAGCTCCAAAATTCATTTATGTAGCCCAGGCCTCAAACTCACACAGTTCTCATAACTGAGCCCCTCATTGCTGGGATTCCATGAGGGTGCCTCCATAACTGGCTTTCAAAAACATAATTTGACAGAAGAAAATTATAACCATAGCATGATTCCATTTCTATGAAGTTCCAAACCAGAGGGAAGGGGAATGAGAGAGTGCAGAGGAAGAAAATCTGACCAAGGTATGTTATATGTAGATACGAATGTGTCCAAATGAAATACTATTTTATGACTAATTGGTGCTAATTAAAAAAAAATGTGAAGCCAGCACCAGTGACTCATTCCTATCATCCTAGCTACTCAGGAGGCTGAGATCTGAGGATTACAGTTCTAAAGCCAGCCCAAGTAGCAAAGTCCAAGAGACTTCTTTCCAATTAACCACTAAAAAGCTAGAAATAGAGGTGTGGCTCAAGTGATCAAGTGCCAGCCTTGCTCAAAAAAAGCTAACCAGTCCAGGTTCCCATGGCTCACACCTTTAATCCTAGCTACTCAAGAGACTAAGATCCGAGGATCACAGTTCAAAGCCAGATGGGCAGGAAAGTCCTTGAGACTCTTATCTCCAATTAGCTGCCAGAAAACCAGAAGTAGCATTGTGGCTCAAGTGGTAGAGCATTTGCTTTGAGCTGAAGAGATCAGGGACAGCTCTCAGGCCCAGAGTTCAAGCCCCATGACCAACAACAACAACAACAACAACAAAAAAGCTAAAGAACTGTGCCAATAAATCTAAATTATGAGTAACATTATGAGTCAGTAGTGGATCCCTCACTAATATAAATGGGAAGAGAACCAGCATCACAGAATGCCCACAATCTCTAGTACTGGGAAAGGCATAACATACCATTATAAAGAG